TATGATATGCATAAAATGGTTTAAAGTGTTCTTTGAAGAAATCTTTCAAGTTTTGTTTATTTATTTATATGCAGTTATACATCAAGAAACATACACTTGTAAATTCCTGCGTAAGAATTGCATAAGATTACAAGCCTAATGCGTCTGTTATTACATGCAATACTAGTTTTACTCGAAATTTACACAAAAAAATTCCTGATGAAGGAAGAGTATCTATATACAAAAATAACTTATTATTGTCTGTCGCCAATTTTTGTCATACAGTCCAGAAGTTCTATAATCAGAACAAATGTTGCCTTTCTTTAAAAAAGGTTACATATATCGCCTAAAAAAAAAATTTAAAAGCTTGCGGGTTAGAATTTTAACGTTTTACATTTTAATATAGTAATAAGATACGAAATTGAGAATAGATGATTCTCGTATAACAAAAATTTCTTTATTATTATTGCATTTAAAACAATAATGATTGATATATTACGATTTTTTAGTGGGAAAATAAAAAGTTAAATGTGGGACTAGTATTAGTCTTCAAAACCAGAGAGCGGGAAAGTCAAAGGTTTTGCCATAAGTCGAAAATAATTTTGATTTTTGATTTAACTTTGATGTATAACTTTTAATTTTAGTTTCGGCGACCAACGCGATATGGAACCCGAGAGTCCATTATAACAAGAGTTGACTGTATAAAATTGTAATACCAAATTTATATATTGAAAAATATACTATGATGCGGGACCTCTTAAACCACCAATTTTGTACGAGATTTTAAAAATAACTCTAATACTATTACTATAATTGCATTGTATGTGAAATTGAAGTTGAAACCTGTAATTAAATATGAAGGAGTGTTTGGGTACGAAATTCATTTTGTTTGACTAATTTAATTTCAAATATGTGAATTTTCACACATAGATTAAGACTCAAGCTTTTATTGAATAATTCTCATGAATAATTCTCACATTACTATTACTAAATAATGATTTTACACGAATAATTAAACACATCACTAAATAATAATATTAATCAAATTTTCCATATTTATAAATTGA